CCCGATTCTGACGGAGCTTTTGGTGTTGCTCAACGTCAGCTTACACAGCCGTATAAGTTTTGCAGGGATACCAAATTCAGACATCGCGGCATAAAGACAGCTCCAAAATTTACTATCAGCAAGATAAAAACACGGAAGCGGATTGCTCACAGCATCAATAGTTTCCCGAAAAATAACTAATTTTGGACGAAATTTGCGAAATTTGGACTGATATATGACTTTCTTACAATAGACAAACTTTCTTAAAAGTTGTATTTGTGGTCTAGCAGAGAACATGAATATAATAGGTCTAGACCTTGGTCAAAATTTTATATTCTTAATATAATCAATTCGAGTTTTGTATTGTATGTAAAACTTAACACCTCTGGTATTTATTGAGTTAACGCACCATTAGTAGCACTTTACCATATACACACTATCGAAGAATGTTGAAACTTTACATTCAGTTCGATTATGGAGTTATTAAATTGAGTTATAAAAATTCCCAATATTAAGGCATCATAGATTCTTTCTTGTTCTGCCATCTGTGTTCGCCGCAATATCATCACCATCATCATCACATATCAGTATATGTAGTAAATATATCGGAGCAATGATAATTAGAGGCCAATTTCAGAAATTTTTGACTCTATGTATCCGATTTTATACATTTTGGTACAAGACCACATTATTATGGGAAACATATAATAATTTAGGAATTTCTATAATATATTTCATCAATTTATAGCTATTTCGGACAATTTTTAAACGTCATAAGTTCTACTTTCGATTTATATACCGTAAAGTGAAAAATAGTATGGTTGTAGTCGGATTCTCATTTGCAAACTGTAGTACAAGAACGTCAGAATAATGTATTTATGTTTATAATTTCAGACCAAAGATTGCCATTGCTACGCTTATTGTTCAATTTTCAAGGCTTTCTGCAACAAATAGGATGCAAAGTTTAATGTTTTTGACATATTTTTATAGTTTTCGCATATCAAAATATGTAAATTACGAGTTCGTAGATGGGCATAATCGAACCACTACCATCCCATAAAACACCATTACCCAGAAACCTATAAAAACCATAACTAAGCACTGAATTAAAATATAAAACTCTAATTTGGCACATACGATTGCAGTAGCAAGGGCACCCGTGGGCAGAAAATTTTGAAAAAGTGAGCGTGGATCCGCCCTTTAAAGAGTTTAATGCACATATCTCTTAAACCACTTAAGCGATAACACCCAAACCTAGCGCAAAATATTATAATAACCCACTTAACAGTAATATTAAAAGCTCCTAACACCACGATAGAAGAGGGAAGTGAGACGCATTTGCAGACAGAAAAAGAAAGAGGCCGAAATGCGTGAGTACGAAGAGCTTGATAAGCAAGCCGATAGGCGTAATGCTCGAAAATTCTACGAAAAAATCCGCCGGCTTACAGAAGGTTTCAAGACCGGATCATACTCTTGTAGAACCCCCAAAGGTGATCTAGTCACCGATGCCCAGAGCATACTTAAATTATGGAGGGAACACTTCTCCACCCTGCTGAATGGCAGTGAA